GTTGATTGTATATCCAAGTAAAATGAAATCCTTGACAACTTCAATCTTTTCTCCGTTTATCATGATGTTGCTTATTGGTCCAGTTGTGAGGATTTTGTTTACTTTATGTTGAGGTGTAATCCACACTGAAGGCTGTCGTCTTTGATCTTCAGTAAGTGCTTCAAGTCCTCTTCACTTTCAGTGAGCAAGGTTGTGTCATGTGCATAACGAAGGTTGTTAATGAGTCTTCCTCCAATCTTGATACCCTGTTCTTCTTCATACAGTCCAGCTTCTCAGATTATTTGTTCAGTATAGAGATTGACTAAGTATGATAAAGGATACAACACTGACACACACCTTTCCTGATTTTAAACCACGCAGTATCCCCTTGGTCTGTTCGAACAATTGCCTCTTGGTCTAGGTACAGGTTCTGCATGAACACAATCAAGTGTTCTGGAATAACCATTCTTCGAAATGTTATCTATAATTTGTTATGATCCACACAGTTGAATGCCTTTGTGTAGTCAGTAAAACACAGGTAAACAACTTTCTGGTAGTCTCTGCTTTCAGCCAAGATCCACCTGACATCAACAATGATATCCCTTGTTCCACGTCCTCATCTCAGTCTGGCTTGAATTTCTGGCAGTTCCCCGTCGATGTAATGCTGCAACCATTTTTTAATTATCTTCAACAAAATTTTACTTACATGTAATATTAATGATATTGTTGGATAATTTCTGCATTCCATTGGATCACCTTTCTTTGGAATGGGCATGCATATGATCTCTTCCAGTCGATTGGCCAGGTAGCTATCTTCCAAATTTCTTGGCATAGATGAGTGAGCACTTCCAGCATTGCATCTGTTTGTTGAAACAAAGTATTTGGCAATGCTTAGGTCCAATTAAGGAAACATTGGTAGTTCAGTGGCAGAATTCTCACCTTCTATGCTGGAGACTCGGGTTCAGCCACCACTCACCTGTCACTGAAGGCCTACCAAGTAGTTTATAACTCGAAATTTTTTTTTACATAAAGTATGAAATTTTTACCTACAGAGAATCTATAGTATTTACCTTATCTGTTTTGATACTTTCACTATACAAGGAGCTTCTCATCTATAATACTCATTCTTGTTTGCTAGTTCTTAAATCACCATAGTTTGTGGCATGGCACCGTGACAGTCCTTATTTCCTTCAATATTAAAATTCTAGTTAGGTCAAGTTATCTCATTTAGTCCTGTTAAATGTAATTTATCCATTTTATTGATTTAGAGTTCTAGCATTAGAAGAGTACCATTCCTAAGTTGTGACCTAGCTTTTCTGTGACTTTTCATGTCTATCAACTAACTAAGCAGGTTAACTTAACCAGAGAACACAATAAATGTACTGCCTATGCACATTGTAAGGGCAGGGAGAAATAGTCTTGCGTAAAATGTTAACCATTTCATAAAGAGATCTAAAGTGTGCAGAAAAGTGGTTTCAAACTTAACAAAGTTTCTGAGAAAATGCACCTGTATAGGGAAAAATCTAGACAATTAAGTTAGATACTTCCCTTTGTTTCCCGGATGAAAAGTTCGTGTATGTATGAATTAAAATCATAATTCTGGCCCTCAATGGGCTCAGAGAATGGCCTCAAACTTGGATTCCAAAAGAAGTTCTGGTTCCTGCTTCCTGCTTCCAATAGAGACAAGTAGGGTTAGAAAGTTACTAATAAACGTATTTCCGCCAAGTCCCTTTTTAAGTGGGGAAAAATATGAGAAGCGTGGGAACTTAATGCAAGAAGTGAAAATAAAGAGAGCAGGTAGAGTTAAGGGAAAGTAAGAATAGGAGGAGCCAAGGGTTAGAAACAATATAAAGGTTTTAACAGTGGAGAGACCCATCGGGACAACTTCCTTTTTTTAGGTCCCCACGGGGCTCAGGTTGGGGAACGTAAGGCCTGCAAACAGGCCCGCCGACGTCTCAATTCACCCGAGACGCGAAGCCTCCACCCAGCCTCAGCCAAAACAGCCTCCTCACGCTCCACGCGCTGTGTGTGTGTTGGGGGGGGGGGTCTGACCCTCGCCTGGCAACGGGCCGGAAGCGGAAGCCGGGCGCTGGACGGTTTTTAGTGCGGCTGCGTGGGTAAAAATGGTCTGCTCGCGTAGGTCTCAGTAGTAACAGTACCGCCTTGCTAATATGGTCACCTGTGAAATCGCGGTTGATGGCGCCCGTGCCCTGGTCCCGCTACCTTGCGGACTCCCCGGCCTTTCAGAGACGGAGACGAAGCTCGTCGGGGAGCCTGCCATCCGCGCAGGCCAGACACTCCCCTCCGGGCAGTCGCTCCCCCTCTTAGTCCCGCGGCCGTGAGAGCCTCAGATTTCCGTGGGGTGGGTCGGACGTTGGCGCTGCTTACACCCTTCCGCTCTGGGTCCCGAGAGCGACCCCCCGGGCTCCGCAACCACGCCTTCTCATCCTCCTCATCTATTATGGTGGATACCGCTACCATCATTATCACCACTATGCTGGTGACTGGCAGGGAGCTGAAGACTACGAGGAGGAGAAGGAGCCACTGGCAGAGGAGGCTGAAAGAGAGAGAGGGGATTGAGGAGTTGGGAGCACCTGAGGTATGGGGGCTATCTCCAAAATGTCCTGAGCCGCATTCTGATGAACACACTCCAGTTGAGGATGAAGCAAAGACTCAGAAGAGCAGCAGTTTAGATTCTAGCGGAGAAAAAGAAAAAGAAAGCCAGTCGTTCAAAAAACAAGAAGAAAAGAAAAAGCCATTCAAAAGAAAACATAGGAAGTATTCTGATAATAATGACAGCAGTTCAGACTTTGACACTCGAGCTTTGGTGATGATAAAAAGAGAGCTAGAAAGGCCAAGAAGAAGGAGAAGAAAAAGAAACACAGAGTCACAAAAAAAAAACCTAAGAAAAAGAAGACTAGAAAAGAATCCAGTGACTCAACCTGTAAGGATTCAGAAGGGGAGTTGCCAGAAGATATGTGGATTGAGCAGTCAAAGATTGCAGATACCATGGGATTAATAGGCTCAGAAGCACCTAGAATACACTCCTCTCAAGATGAGAAACCTTTGAACTATGGCCATGTTCCGCTGCCAGGTGAAGGTGCAGCTATGGCTGAGTATGTAAAAGCTGAACAGCGTATCCCACGAAGAGGTGAAATTGGGCTGACAAGTGAAGAGATCGCTTCATTTGAATGTTCAGTTTATGTCATGAGTGGTAGCAGGCATCACAGAATGGAGGCTGTACGACTGCGGAAAGAGAACCAAATCTACAGTGCTGATGAGAAGAGAGCACTTGCATCCGTTAACCAAGAAGAGAGACAAAAGAGAATAAGATTCTGGCCAGTTTCCGAGAGATTGTGTGCTGAAAGACAAAAGGGAAAGATGACAAATAAGGACTTTGGATTGTGTAGCAGAACTTTTAACAATAACAAATCTTTTATATGACCAAAATAGTATTAAAAGGCTTTATATTGCTACTGTACCTACTATATTAGTAAGCTCCTCAAGAAAAAGCTGCTTTTTGAGAAACTGCTCTTTGGCAATTTATTTTTTTGTTACTTTTAACTTAAAAAAGTAATATATGTACATAGTTTAAAAAATCCAAACTACAGGAGGAGATTCAGTAAAGAGTGAGTCACCCCAGTTAGTGATCTGTCTCCCCAGAGAAATCTTTATTTAATGTTTTCTATCTGTACATAAGTTCTGTGTATATAAGCATTTTTGTTGCAGGGTAAAGGTTGGAGCTAATAAACTGAAGTTTTTTCCCTGTTGCACTGACTTTTCTCTCTGAGGGCTTTCTTGCCTCATGGAGCCATTCATCTGCCCCCACAAAACAAACAAAACCCATTGCAGTCCCGTCAAGTCAATTCCAATTCATAGCGACCCAGTAGGATAGAGTAGAACTGCCACGTAGGGTTCCAAGGCTGTAATCTTTACAGAGCCATCTGCCGCATCTTTCTCCCACAGAGTGGTTGGTGGGTTCAAACCACCGGCCTTTCCTTTTCAGTTAGCAGCCAAGTGCTTAATCACTGCACCCCCGGGGCTCCTTAAGGACTCCAAAGAGTACAAAGGAGTTAATTGAGTGTATACTTCTGGTTGTAGTTAACAGACTCGGTGAAAAAATATGAGAAGTTTACTGGCTCATATGACCAAAAAGTCCAGCCGGAGGACAAGTTTCCTGCATAGTTTTAATAGGACTTTGGCTTCTTTCTCTACCTTCCTCTTCCATGGGTGGGCTTCCTCCTCAGACTAGTTTCCCTTATATAGCAAAATGCCTGCCAAAACTAGTGAGTTTGGATATTTATTTCCTGGTTCACCTCTAAAGAAAGAAAGATGGTTTCTATTTTAGCATTCCAAGCAAGCATCTTGAGATTCACCCTAATTGGAGTAGCTTAGGTCACATGCCAACCCTGAAAACAGGTGCATGTTGCCAGGGAAATAGAGTAGCCTACCGCTGGAGTAGTAGGTGTGGTCAACTTATGGGCTACATGGGGGAAGAGTGAATGCCTGAACGAAAATCATGGTAATGTTGGGAAAGGGGGCAGGCTCCAACAAATGTCTGCTACAGTTTTAAATTAGTTTTTCAAAAAACATAAAAGTACATGTGCTGAAAGCTGAAAATTTCTTGAAGAAAAGCTTGGTTTTGACTATTAGAAACAAAATCCTGATTGAAGAGGTCATAGGGTTTATCCATAAAAATAAATGTAAAAGAGAAAAGATGAAGATCCAGGCTGATGACTCTTCTGAAGAGTAGATTAGGGTCATCTGGGTTAGGAAGTGAAAGAGAAAATAAGGTGTAAAGGAAGAGGCATTTGGTAGATCCCATGGAAAAGGGACCAGATCAAGAGGGACTACATTCACAAGAGAGTTAGCATTGAGGCCAGAGAGTTTACTGACTAGCACTAGTGCTAGAGAAGGCCTTAGAGTGAGTGAGCTCCATTCATGGTATATGATGAGGCCTTTATTGAATCCAGTGACATCTGGTCTGAACCCTTAGACTTTAGTTCAACACTAACCAAACTATTTCATTTGGGTAACCCTTTCCAAAGGCTCAGGGTCCTGGTAAGCACTATAAAGCTGAAGGTGAGTGGATGAGGTTCTAGAACGTAGTAGGGCAGTGTGATGTGAAATGGCACCTTCCCCCCAGCATGTGTGCTCATTTGACACTGGACCACACTGGCTTGAGATTTTACCTGGAAGAGGTGTGGAGGACACTCTTGAAAGCTACACTATAACATACATGTATTTCCCTTTTTAGAAACAAACCATCCATAGTATACACATGGGTTTTTCCCCTTGATTTTTTTCACTTAACAATACCTCATTCTTTTTAATGGCTTTATACTATTCTATTGTATGGAAGGACTATGTTTGATGTTTAAAGTGTTTCTTATATTTTGCTATTACACAGTAGTATAGTGAATATCTTTGTGGATGTGTGAGAGTGTATCTGTGATGGTTAATTTTATGTGTCCACTTGACTAGGCTATGGTGCCTAGTTGTTTGGTAAAACACTACTTGCTGTTACTGTTACATATGATTAAATCAAGTAAAGCAGATTACCTTCCATAATGTGGGTGAGCCTCAATCAGTCGAAGGCCTTATGAGGAAAAAAAGGAGTTTGCCTAGGGTACGTTCTCTCTCCAGACTGTAAATAGACATTTTACCAGAATACTTTTTATTCTTCAATCTTCTCATCTTGACCTATGGATTTTGGGGCACAAGCCTGCAGGAGTCTCCAACTTGTTATCTGACCTATGAATTTGGGATTTTCAGCCCTCCTACAATTTCAGCCAATTCCATGAAGTAAATCAATCTCTGTATCTATGTATCTCACTATTCTACTTCTCTAGAGAACCCTGATTAAGACAGTATCTGTAGCAGATTCATATAGAAGTAGAATTATCAGGTCAAAAAGAATTCATTGGGTCATCTAGAAATGGCCACTTAGAAGTTGGAATTAATGGATCAAAATGAAAATATTTTGTAAATACGTATTAGGTGCTTTCTATGTGCTAGGAACCATGGCAGGTACCGGAGACAGACTAAGAAACAAGTTAGGCTTGATCTTTGCTATCATAGAACTTTACATTCTACTGGAGGAGATAGACCAAAAAAAGGTTAATAGACAAATAATTACAAATTGCAGCATGCTATGAAGAAAACCAGGGGCCAGAGACAGTAATGAGGGGATGTTTTTTGATAGGGTGGCCAGAGAAAGTCTAAGAATGTCACATTTAAGCTCTGTGTTTTTAAATTTTGATACTGCGACATTGCATTCCAAAGAAGATGCACCAATTTACACTCTCACCTACATCCTCACCAATATTGTGCTTTCAAACCTTTTGATCTTTACCAACCTAATAGAGGAAAATTGGCACTTCATTTTTGCTTTTATTTGCATTTCTTTAGGAGTAAGCTTTAGCATCTTTTCATATATTTATGAGTCTTGTAATTCTGTTTTCGCAAACTGCCTACATTGTAACTTTTGTCCATTCTCCTCTAGGGTCATCGTTCTTTTTCTTATAGACCATAAGAGCTCTTCAAGTAATAAATTAGTTCATTAACACATATCTTGCAGATATTTTTCCCTGTTGTTTTCCTTTTGTCTTGCTTTTCTGGAAGACACTTGTTAGGCCTATAAAAGGCTCCCTAATACTAGCCAAAGGAGCCCTGGTGACGCAGTGGTTAAGCACTTGGCTGCTAACTAAAAGGTTGACACTTCAAATCTACCACCTGCTCCGCAGGAGAAAGATATGACAGGCTGCTTCCATAAAGATTTACAGCCTTGTAAACCCTATGGTGCAGTTCTACACTGTCCTACAGGGTCGCTGTGAGTCAGAATTGACTCGATGGCAAATGTTTTAGTTTTGTTTTTTTTTAAATACTAGCCTAACAATAAATATCTTTGTCTTTCTCACTTGAAAAAAAGATGCAGCTGAGAAACTGTGGCTTTTAAATAAACCAAGGTAACACTGGTGGATGTCCTTTCCAAAAAGATAAGTGCACACAATGCAAAAAATACTACATGCAATACCTACAGCAGGGTTCTCGTGGTAGGTCTTTGTGCTGTGGTTATGTTTAACTTACTGTTTAATGTTATTGTTAGAGAAGGACTAGGCCAGTAAATCTGCCTTAAAAACAGGTTTTAAGAGTTAGAATTGGATTGCAAGTCACTTTTGACCTGGGGGCTAATTAAACAGGTTAGAACAAATCTTTCGTTTGAAATAATTTTTCCCAGATGTCCAGTGCCATCTTCATGATTGTTGGTATGTTTAAGTCCATTGTTGTGGCTATTGTGTAGCCTTCCACCTAGGGGGCTCATCTTCCAGCACTATGTCTGATAATATTCTGTTGTGATCCATAAAGCTTTTATTGGCTGATTTTCAGAAGTAGATTGCTAGGCCTTTCTTCCTAGTCTGTCTTAGTCTGGAAGCTCCACTGAAACCTGTCCACCATAGGTGACCATGTTGGTATTTGAAATACTGGTGTCTTAGGCTGGGTTCTCTAGAGAAGCAAAACCAATAAAGCATATAAATATATATATTTAGAGAGAAATTTATAACAAGGAAATGGCTCAAATGATTGTAGAGGCTGTAACATCCAAAGTCTGTCAGTCAGGAAAGAGGCTCCTGATTCACGTAGCCACAGGGGCTGACAAACCCAAGACCAGCAGGTCAGAGAGCAGGGCTCTTGCTCACAGGCTGTGAAGACTGACAAATCCCAAGATTGGCATGCAAGACCACAGGTAAGATGCTAGCTCAAGCCCCAAGAACCAGAGGTCAGACGAACAGTTGCAGAGTCCAGAACAACAACAAAAAAAAACCCCGAGCCCTGCCAGAACATTCACCCACACTTGATGCAGGCCACACACCCAAGGAAACTCCCCTTCAACTGATTGGCTACTCACAGCAAATCCCATCATGGGGGTGATCACATACCAAATCTCAACAGGGAAGTGACCACAACATCACATGACTGCCAAAACATTGAGAATCATGGCCCAGCCAAGTTGACACACAATCTTAACCATCACATACCCCAACTAGTTAAAGAGGTTTTAATACTTCCACCCCACCCCATGTCTCACACAGCTGCTCAGTAGGTTCCAGTCAGGGGATCTACGCTACAAAGCATGCCTTCAGCACTTGAAAATGGAAGTTGTCCACAGACTTAGCAGCTGTTTTTGTTATGGACTACAGCTAAGCTGTGAGCCTACTCTAGGAAGATGTTGGCAGCCCTGAAGGGAAGAAAGCAGAGTAGGCAATATCTACAGCCAGAAAGACAGGCGTTTAATAGGTACCAAGAGGGGTAAATCTTTCCCTTCTATTAGGATCACACTAAAGGCTTCCCCTTGGGTGGTAAGAACAGCGGCTACTTTAGGTATTTTTCT